CACCTTAACCCCGGTTGTGATGAGTCGGTCAAACTCCGACGAAACAGTTTGCCACAGCCCCTCGTTTGTTGTCCTCTTCTCCCTCTCTGCCTACGGTTTATCGGGCAGCTCTGTTTGACTATATATACCACGWCTTCGCTAGCACCCTGCTACGGTATTCTCCGTTCAGGTTGAGCGGCAGTGGTCGGGGCCGTCACTACGCGGCCATGATGTGCCTCTAGTGCCAGCGGCGTGTCTTTAGTGTATTTTTTGGCTGTGACAGACCTTTCTTTGTTTCGTGGGTGTTTTGCTTGCTTGTGATGGGGTGTGAACAGGCAGTCTGTAGAGTTTTCCATCTGGTGTGGGTGAGTGATAGTCTGCTTTGACTTTTGCCACAGGTACCTTGAGGGAAGTGGTTGGTGCCCACTTCAGGGTATCAGTTGTCAAGCAGTCGTTTATAAATATATATATATATATATATATATATATAGCCCCTCGTTTGTTGTCCTCTTCTCTCTCTCTGCCTACGGTTTACCGGGCAGTTCTGTTTGTGACGATATATATAATATTATATATATATATATTTATATATATCCCGCAATAGGGTGGGTGGCTAAGGCAGGGAGCGGGGAAAGGGGAAGGTGGCTCGGGTGACATGAGATAAGAACACAAGACTAGAGTGCACGTGCATGAAAGAGAGAGAGAGGGGCTCCTGCCTTCCGTTAGCCGGCACCCACCACCTTCCCCTCCTCCTGCCCACCGAAAGAGAGAGAGGGGAGGGGGGGAGCATGAGTGAGAGAGAGGGAGTTGGAGAGGGGGAAAGAGAGGTGAGAGAGAGAGTGCCTGGTTTCAGGGTATCAGTTGTCGGGCAGTCGTTTATATATATATAGCCCCTCGTTTGTTGTCCTCTTCTCTCTCTCTGCCTACGGTTTGCTGGGCAGTTCTGTTTGTGACGATATATATAATATTATATATTTATATATATATATATATATATATATATATATATGTATGAACCGACAGTCTGTAGAGTTTTCCATCTGGTGTGGGTGAGTGATAGTCTACTTTGATAGATTATCATTTACAGTGTAATTAGTGAGGGGATTCTGCAGACTGTTGAGGGTTCAGCCTCCTAATGAGTCGGTGAAACTCCGACGAAACAGTTTGTCACAGCCCCTCGTTTGTTGTCCTCTTCTCTCTCTCTGCCTACGGTTTACCGGGCAGTTCTATTTGTGACGATATGCACAACATCGGCACTTGGCTAGGGATCAGCGGCCTGCTTCTTTGTCTACCCCAATGCTCTCTGTGCCTCCTTCACGGGTTGTTGCGGTTCCGTTGTCCCAAACGGATACATCCGCTCCTATGCCTCCTGCAGACAGTCCAGCTGCTTGCACACAGCCACRGCACCRTGTTTTATGYYMTTCCATGTTBGTTTGTCCCCCAGCTGTGCAACAGGATATGGTCCCTGCCCAGAGTACACTCCCAACGATAGTCCCTATTCACGATGTGGCCCCGAACGCTGAGGGCCTGGGACATGATCAGCTCGGAGTGCATTTAACCCTGCAAGGCATAGACCACACGGGAGATTTGCAAATGGCTGACCAGGATCATATGGATGAACTGCGTACTTGTGCCCCACCCTGTGTGGTCCCGAACGCTGAGGGACTGGAACATGATCTGCTTGGACTGCATTTAATCCCACATGGCATAGACCCCATGAGGGATTTGCAAATGGCTGACCAGGATCATATGGATGAACCGCATACTTGTGCACCACCCTGCGCAGACCCCACGGGTGATCTACAAATGACTGACCAACAAAACCAGCCTGTGATCCCCGCCAATCTCTGTGGTCTGACTGCAACTAATAGCTGCCTTCACGTTCTCAATCGGTCGTTGTATACACCATCAGATTTCCTTGCAATTGCCCTGCAGCTTGATGTTGATCTCGCTAATCTCGCTGATCCCCCCGACCTACAGCCAGAGCATCGTAATTACACCAGGGAAGGAGGTTT